AATGATGGGGCACTATTCACCCCCCTGGTTCCAATGATGGGGCAATATTCCTCCCACTGATTCCAACAAATGGGCCCTATTCCTCCCATTGGTTCCAATGATGGGGCACTATTCATCCCCCTGGTTTCAATGATGGGACAATATTCCTCCCACAGATTCCAACAAAGGAGCACTCTTCCTCTTATTGATTCCAATAATGGAACACTGTTCTTCCAACTTATTCCAATGAAGGGGCACTATTCCTCCCATTAATTCCAATAAAGGGGCACTATTCCTCCCACTGGTTCCAATGATGGGGCACTATTCCATCCACTAGTTCCAATGATGGGGCACTATTTTCCCACTGGTTCCAATGATGGGACACTATTCCATCCACTAGTTCCAATGATGGGGCACTATTCTCCCACTGGTTCCAATGATGGGGCATTATTCCTTTCACTGATTTCAGCAATGGGGTAATATTCCCTCCACTGACCCCTCCAGCTACCCATGCTCTTTTTTCACCAGTATCTTGCAAATTTTCTTGAAAAGGGACAGGAAAAATCTACAAGATTCAGCTCCCTTAGACTTTTATGGGGATTGGGTGCTATGTTTAGGGTTTTTTCTGTGTGTTTATATGTACTTTTTTCTTTCCTATGCTTGCCACACCCCCTCGCTACCCATTCTCTGCCATTCTCGCATTCTCGGTACCATTCTCTGCCATTCTCGTAGGCACCAGCACGTGATGAGGTCTGAGGAAAGATAGCGGCGCGGGGCATAGGCTTGCAGATTTCAAGCTAGGTTCATGAATCCCCCTGTGACCAAACCAAAGGCAATTCACTCATCAACAATGCAAAGTTAGAATGATTTAATTAATCAATCCTCATCTACCACTTAAAATGGAACTTCCCCATCTGGATGCACTGGGCTACCATAAGCATTTTTTCTGTGTGTTTATGTACTTTTTTCTTTCCTATGCTTGCCACACCCCCTCGCTACCATTCTCTGCCATTCTCGCATTCTCGCTACCATTCTCTGCCATTCTCGTAGGCACCCAGCACGTGATGAGGTCTGAGGAAAGATAGCGGCACGGTGCATAGGCTGTTACAGTGATGCAGCGGATCACAACAGAACAATGCTGGATCAACTGAGCAGGTAAGTATCAAAATTGAGAACAATCAAGACTAACAGGTAAAGGGGGGCAGACTGAAGTTGCTCTTTAAGTTCATTTGGACAGTGCAACAAAATGCTGCTTCTTCTTTAAGAGAATCATAAATTATATCCAATTTTTTTTATTTTACTTTTTATTTATTACAGGTACTCATATAGGTCTGTCAATTTATGCAGCACTTCAATATATATATATATATATATACAGCATATATATATATTTCTAAATCATATTGTACATTAACACATCAGTCCTTGCCCTCAAGGCAGTAATGTCACACAAACCTCCACAATCTACAATGTGCAGGCAAAACTCACCTCAAGTAACAAAAAGAAATCACATAAAATTCACTGTCATCTGTCTTTTGTCTGATGATTATTATCTCACAAATCCCCTCACGTATTCCAACCCATGGCACTATTTTGGTCTTGAGGAAAATTGATGAAAGATTGCAACGATCGGGACATTTGTTTTCAGTGACAGCTGTTCCGTCGACATTTTCCTACAGTCAAGAGAAAAAAAAGCATCCTTTACTCTTTTTCTAAATTAAAGAGAAAAAGAGCTTTTCGGAAAGCACATCATTGTATTTACCTAAAACGGAATGAGGCCTAGATAAAGGTGGAGGTTCAATTTTTTTCATTTTGGATAGAGTGGGGGTCGCAAGTGTTTGTATTTTTTGAGACCTAAAGTGAGGGAAAATTCCAAAATTTAGAACCATTAACAGAACAAAAGGTGAGGAAAAATCCTTGGGCTACCTGTTCCTGTGACAGATCTCTAAAATTGGAATTCTGCTCACTTTGGAAAGATTTTCTCTAATTTCTTCTTGCGTCTTCACCACAGCAAACGAAGGGAAGTCACCCCAACGAAACACAGGCAGCAAAAAAATAACCTAATAGAGCGCTCAATCCTTCCCTTCTCTATTTAAAACTGGTGTGGTAAAAGTCTGGGCTTTACCTGTTTACATGAATCTGATTACATGCACATGTATTAATAGGAAACAAAAAAAAGATTTTCTACTTTAAATAATTCCACAAACTTAAACAGCTTCAGTAACATTTTGGAAATAAAAGTGTTCTGCATACTAGCTTCAGATGAAAGTCATAATAATCTCATTAACAATATCCCAAAATCCCTTGATAGAGAAGTGTTTGTAGAATAATCAAATAATTTGTTTGATTGGCTCCGTCTTGTGCATAATTCTAATTAATTATAAAGCAAAAACATGAGTGAGGAAATTGATTAAATTCTCTCTCCATTATATCGCTAGAAAATATATTATAGGTTATACAGTATATATTATATTAGTGGTAATAATAGTAGTATTAAATATAATATAAAAAATCCCCCCATTCTACAGTTGATTTTAATGGGCCATTTGTTCCATAACAAATATTTTAGTATACACTAGATCAGTGTTGCTCAAACCTTTTACACCACAGGACCCTTTGAAATAATTTGAAGGAGTCTGGGAACCTCTACTAAAAAATAATTACATCTACAGGTCATGATACATTAGTATAATCACAAAGTTAATAGAATGTTGGAAATAAAATGAAGTAAATGGCATAACAAGGGTACCCTACACCCCTGACTATTTTACAACATTCCCCTGCTCAATGTAGGAATAATATTGGCAGTATGTGAAGAAAATACCCCTTTACATTGATCAGTGCAGACGTGACCCATTACATTGGACATCAGTGGGAAATTGTCCCTTTACATTGGTGGTCATTGGATGTGAGAGATCAATCTGACACTGCTCACTGCTTGAGGAACACGTGGAAACCTCTGGAGGAACCCTGATTCAGAAACCCAGTAATTGATGGTAGAGTTAAACCCTCTGACATTTCCTAATATCACTTAGGAATTGCATTGGTGTGATATTTATTTATCTATGGCCACTATGATGGTGTCCCATTCTGCATTTTAGATATTTTATAAGATGGAAAAGGTAACAGAAGGGGCTGGAACACACAGAGGTGGACAAGAACAGCCAACACTCCCAGGCAGGGGCGGACTGACAACTCATGGGGCCCCCGGGCAATAGGAGATCATGGGGCCCCTGTGTCCTTGGCCAAACTCAAAAAAGCCTATGAAAAAGGTACCAGGGACATCTCATGGGGCCCCCTACTGACCCCGGGCCCTCGGGCAGTGCCCGAGTTTCCAAATGGTCAGTCCACTCCTGCTCCCAGGTGGAGAGGAACAGTCAGGAACTGGGGCAGAGATATGGTATCTAACTTTTGAAACATCCAAGACAAAAGGGCTAGATTTTCCATTATTCCCTGTAGGGCCTTCATCTCTCCCTCCGGTGTACGCGCTCACTAATGCCCGTGACCAGTTAACTGGGGCACCGACCACTACAGAAGGAAACAGCAATCTGCTCTTCTCACTATGCAGAGAACTTGTCACCCTTGCCAGTACCATCCTTCCACTGTATGGCTGCCATATGATTCCCTTCTGCTGGTTACCATTATCAATTACACATTCTCCTCTTCACATCATGTGTGTGTGTGTGACAGGCCCAATTCTTTGCTATATACCATGTACCACCATGCACCCCTTTGTAGTGACTTCAGACCAGACAATGAACAGTTAATAGACTTTACTGAACGTATTCAATGATACAGTCCAAAGGTGCAACAACAGTCTTTTTCCTAACTAACTAGTTAAAGGCTGCCCAGTTCACAGCTCTCCATTTTGTATGGATCATTCTCACACAGTCTGTTCAGTCTTCTGTAGGACCCTGATTGGGTGCCCACTAAGAGGGAATGCTCTCCTGAGAGAAGAAAGTTACATGACGCCACAGTCCTGCTTACTCTTTCCCATGTGCTCCCTGGGATCCCAAGAGGTTACCCCCCTTTGTATTTATGAACCACCACAAGGAGCAGGACCATGAATACCCGGGAAACGGTACCTTAACCCCTTGCTGACTCCTAGGCGACCTGCTAACTATTTCCACATTGCACATGACTTTAGGTGGCATAAAAACACTGAATTGGTAAAGTTTTCCAAAATTAAAGAACACTTTAATTTTGCACCATACTGTAAGCATATGCTAACGGGTCAGTGTCTATAGGTGGCACAAGTAAAGAGGCTGCTTATCCCTTTTTACAAATATTAACTACACATTTTTTCCCTTTCAGCAGTAGAACTATAGGCTCTCATAATACAATATATCCAGCAACAGAGAAAGAGAAAAAAGTCATTTTGCGAGCTAGGTGGTTTATTTGTAAAGCAGCTGTATGTATTGCCACAGTGCTATTTTAACAGAAAAAAAGTAGATGATTTTTTTTTTTCTTTCAGTCAGCAAACCGATTCCTTCATCCACACAAGCAAGGCAGATGGAGGAATCTCCCCGTTGAGTGGGAACAGCCAACGGATTGAACTTTGGTCGGTCTCTATTGAACCAGCCAAATTGCGATCCATCTATGGCCACTTCAAAGCAGGCTTCCCCCACTCTTCTTTAACCACTAGCCTACAGGGCACTTATACCCCCTTCCTGCCCAGGCCAATTTCCAGCTTTCAGCGCTGTTGCACTTTGAATGACAATTGCGCGGTCATGCAACACTGTACCAATATGAAATTTTTATAATTTTTTTTGACAGATAGAGCTTTATTTTGGTGGTATTTAGTCACCTCTGGGTTTTTTATTTTTTCTTAAACAAACCAAAAACCACTGAAAATTTTGGAAAAAAAAAAGGTTTTCTCCTAGTTTTTGTTATAAAATTTTGTAAATAAGTGATTTTTCTTCTTCACTGATGTGTGCCTAATGAGGCTGCACTGATGGACACTGATAGGTGGCACTGATGAGGAGGCACTGGTAGGTGGCACTGATGGGCATTGACAGGCATCACTGATGGGCACTGAAAGGCAACACTCATATATGGCACTGATAGGCGGCACTGACTGGCACTGTTAGGTGGCACTTATAGGCAGCACTGATGGGCACTGATAGGCGGCACTGACTGGCACTGATGGGTGACACTGAAAGGCAGCTCAGATGGGCACTGATATGTGGCATTGATGTGGCACTGATGAGCACTGAAATGTGGAACTGATGTGGCACTGTTGGGCACTGGCAGGTGGTATGGATGAGCACTGAGAGCTGGCACTGATGGACACTGACAGGTGGCACTGCTGGAGCTACACAGATCATCAGGGCACACTGATCATCAATGCTCTGATGATCTGTGTACGTCTCCTCCGAGGAATGCCGATTACCGGCTCTCCTGTCCCCACGAGCTGTCAGTGTGATAGCTTGTGGGGAGAGAAATGACGATAACCAGCATTTCCCTATTTACATGTGATCAGCTGTGATTGGACACAGCTGATCACATGAACGAGCCGACATCTTCGGCTCTTTCCGTTGATCGGTGATCCGCTGTGTCCCTCGCACCGCCGATCGCCATGCTGCATGCTCCCAGAGCCGCGCTTGCTCAGTTAGAATGGGAGGGCGTCATATGACGTCCTCCCAGAACGAGAGAACCGCCTTTTACTATATGGTGAGCGGGAGGCAGTTAAGAAATGGCACATTTTTGAGAGGGGGGAGCAGGTCCTACTTTTGCTCCAATCTCCTAGGCGATCTGAGTGGAAGTCCTCCTCCCCTCTCCCTCTCCACAGTCTTTTGGGACACATCACAGGTCTCAGAAGACTGCGGGACCATTCATAATGTGCAGCGCGGCTCATGCATGCACAGTGGGCACCCGGTGTGAAGCCGCAAGCTGTCACAGCCAGGTGTCGACAGTTAAGATGATGGACCGAAGATGGGTGGAGAGTTTAACAGTTTGGGTGAGCATAACGTTGGATCCTGGGACAAGTGAGTGCCTGTTTATTAGAAGTCAGCTGTTTTTTTAATACAAGTACCTTAAATAAATAAATAAAATAAGAAATGACACTTTGCTACAATGTAAAGTAGTGAGTGTACAGCTTATATAACATGTAAATTTGCTGTCCCCTCAAAATAACTCAACACACAGCCATTAATGTCTAAACCACTGGGAACAAAGTGAGTCCACCCCTAAGTGAAATTTTCCAAATTGGGCCCAATTAGCCATTTTCCCTCCCTGGTGTCATGTGACTTGTTAGTGTTACAAGGTTTCAGGTGTGAATGGGGAACAGGTGTGTTAAATTTGGTGTTATCGCTCTCACTCTCTCATATTGGTCACTGGAAGTTCAACATGGCACATCATGGCAAAGAACTCTCTGAGGATCTGAAAAAAAAGAATTGCTGCTCTACATAAATATGGCCTAGGCTATAAGATGATTGCCAAGACCCTGAAACTGAGCTGCAGCAGGGTGGCAAAGACCATACAGTGGTTTAACAGGACAGGTTCCACTCAGAACAGGCCACGCCATGGACAAGTTGAGTGCACGAGCTTAGCATCATATCCAAAGGTTGTCTTTGGGAAATAGATGTATGAGTGCTGCCAGCATTGCTGCAGAGGTTGAGGGGGTGGGGGGTCAGCCTGTCAGTGCTCAGACCATACGCTACACACTGCATCAACTTGGTCTGCATGGCTGTCATCCCAAAAGTAAGACTCTTCTAAAGAGGATGCACAGGAAAGCCAGCAAACAGTTTTCTGAAGACAAGCAGACTAAGGACATGGATTACTGGAACCTGTGGTCTGATGAGACCAAGATAAACTTATTTGGTTCAGATGATGTCAAGGGTGTGTGGCGGCAACCAGGTGAGGAGTACAAAGACAAGTGTGTCTTGCCTACAGTCAAGCATGGTGGTGGGAGTGTCAAGGTCTGGGGCTGCATGAGTGCTGCCGGCACTAGGGAGCTACAGTTCATTGAGGGAACCATGAATGCCAACATGTACTGTGACATACTGAAGCAGAGCATGATCTCCTCCCTTCGGAGACTGGGCCCCAGGGCAGCATTCCAACATGATAACGACCCACAACAAACCTCCAAGACCACCACTGCCTTGCTAAAGAAGCTGAGGGTAAAGGGGATTGACTGGCCAAGCATGTCTCCAGACCTAAACCCTATTGACCATCTGTGGGGTATCCTCAAACAGAAGGTGGATGAGCGCAAGGTCTCTAACACCCACCAGCTGATGTTGTCATGGAGTGGAAGAGGACTCCAGTGGCAACATGTGAAGCTCTGGTGAACTCCATGCCCAAGAGGGTTAAGGCAGTGCTGGAAAATAATGGTGGCCACACAAAATATTGACACTTTGGGCCCAATTTGGACATTTTCACTTAGGGGTGGACTCACTTTTGTTGCCAGTGGTTTATACATTAATGGCTGTGTGTTGAGTTATTTTGAGGGGACAGCAAATTTACACTGTTATACAAGCTGTACACTCACTACTTTACATTGTAGCAAAGTGTCATTTCTTCAGTGTTGCCACATGAAAAGATATAAAATATTTACAAAAATGTGAGGGGTGTACTCACTTCTGGGAGCTACTGTATATCTCTGGCACGAATGTACCTTCCATATTCCTCCGATGAAGGTTTATTTGATGTAATCACAACCCGTCAATGTTTAATTGAAATACAACATATGTGCCTATTGAGCGGCCACTCTACTTATTGGCATCAATATTTGTTATTTAAAGGTACAGATTGTGAGTATTTTTGGCCAGAGAGATATCCATTGTTTTTATATTTTGTATAAATCATATTTGTATCAATCTATGTTGTACGGCTGCATTAAAATCCCATGGGAGACGTTCTTTCTCTTGACACCAAAGAAGGGGCACAGTTTATTCCCACCAATGTTGGGACCTTTTCTAATCCCAATGGCCATAGTCTGCCCCCCCCTAAAGTCTGAAGGACAGTAAACTGGCCCTTTGTTTAGAAAGTTTGGAGACCCCGGTCCTAAATGATGGATCAAGGATGTGATTTCTTCTGGACTTGGTGTGGTTCAAATAAGGACAGAATCCTGGTGTGCTTAGAGAAGGAGAATTCAAGTTTGAAGAGAAGACTCCCCTCTAATATATTAACCTCCCTGCAACCCCATCTTATCCCCTCTTTCATTTCCCTATTTTAAGATCCAACTGTTCTGTAATAAAAAGGACCCCCCCCCCCTTTCCCCAACAAGAAAATGGCAATAATATAGAATACATTTCACATAAACAAGTACACTAACCTTTGTCCATGCTGTCTTTCTTTCTCGGGGTTCTCTTTTCAGGCTGCCATTGTGCATCCAGCGCCCTTGCTCCTCTGCTGTCATTTTAAAAATGTATGTCCTCATGCATGCATGACATGGAGCGCATGAAGTCCTGATGTATGCGGATGTGAATTTTAGTAAAAGGGGGAAAAGTCCACTTTAAAGGCAAGGGGACACAATGACTATCAATGCAATGCGGGAGATTTGCCAAAACTGGTGCAGCTGTGCATAGTAGTCAGCTTTCTGGTTTTAGTGTCAAAGCTTAACTAAACTGAAGTTAGAAGCCGATTGGTTACCATACCCAGCTGCATCAGATTCTATGTGCCCCAGTTTTAGTAAATCTTCCCCAATGTATCCCTTGTGCTAATGGCTCCTGCTTTAGTTGAAATCATCTTCTTTAGATCCCCACCCCTGCAATCTTCCAGTGCACAAGGGGTTCAACAGAGCCAAGAGACCTGTCATATGCATTCAAGTGCCAAGTATATTCATCCTTTCCATCCCCTTATGAATGAAGAAAGGGGGCCTTTCAATCATCCACCTGTCCTCTGTTCATAGATCATTTTAGGGTTAGACTAAACTAAGGCTTTATCACTTCAGTTCCGGAAGGTTTTGCCCCCTTCATGACCAGGCCATTTTTTGCTATTTGGCACTGCGCTTCTTTTATTGGTAATTGTGTGGTCATGCAGCGCTGTACTCGAACAAAATTTATATTATATTATTTTTTATTATATACATAAATAAAAAGACCAAAAATTTGGAAAAAAAAACTCAAAACAATATTTTTTACTTTCCGCTATAAAACATACCCAATGAAAAAATATTTTAAAAAATTAAATTACTTCATAAATTTAGGCCAAAATGTATATACATGTCTTTTGTAAAAAAAAAAAAAAAAAAAATACCAATACGTGTATAACAATTCATTTGCATGAAGGTTATAGCATCTACACACTATGGCATATATACTGGTACTTTTATTTATTTATTTTATACTACTAATGGCAGTGATCAGCTACTTATAGTGGGACTGTGATAGTGTGTAGGGCAATCTGACACTAACTGACACTGGGAGGGGACTGCTAAGGACATCCCCAGTGACATTAATACAGTGATATTATACACTGGCTGGAAGGAGTTAATTTCTAGGGCAATCAAGAGGTTAAAGGTGTGCCTAACAAAAGTTAATTTGTGTAATATGTGCTGCTTTTTACTAAATATATCTTTGTTTCTTCTCCCTCCTTTGCAGGGGAAAAAGAGATTGTTCCCTCTGAACACAGCCCTGAGCTGATTGTCAACACAGGGCTCTGGGCTGTGTACAATCACAGCAGATGGCGGCAGGCAGGCAGGGAGCACATGCCCTGTACCCGGAAGAGGCCAGTGATGTATAGCTACATTTGCTGTGCCTGTATGGGCTGCCTGGCCACAGTACATTGCAGTTGGATGGTTCACAAGCGGTTTACCAAGGATAGTACCAGGGGCGGACTGACAACTCATGGGGCCCCCAGGCAATAGGGGATCATGGGGCCTCTGTGTCCTTGCCCACACTCAAAAAAGCCTATGAAAAAGGTACCAGGGGCATCTCATGGGGCCCCCTACTGACCCCGGGCCCTTGGGCAGTGACAAAGTTTCCAAATGGTCAGTCTACCTGTGGATAGTACATTGTACAATTAACTTTTTTTTTTTGGGGGGGGGGGCATTTGTGTCCCATTCAGGAGATATCCATTTGCTTGCTGTATCAGACACACAAAAGGAAGTGAGAATAAATCCCTCTAAAGCAGTGGTTAATCAACCTGGGGTTGCGAAATGACCCTTTCACAGGGGTCCCCTAAGACCATCAGAAAACAAATATTTCCGATGTGTAAAGAGCAGCTACTGTGTAGAAAGCAGCTGCTGTGTTGAAAGCAGCTAATCTGTTAAAAGCAGCTACTGTGTTGAAAGCAGCAGTATTGGAGGTAAAAACGACACTCATGAATTATAATTACTGGGTAAATAATTTTATGGTTGGGGGTCACCACAACATGAGGAACTGTATTAAAGGGTCACGGCATTAGGAAGGTTGAGAACCACTGCTCTAAAGTAAAGGATGACCCCTCACCTGTCACCTGAACAGGTGTCCCCCATGGGAGAATTCCCATCTATTCCAGGGACAACTGTAATATTTTGGAAGACCTTCACTTTGTTCTAGTGAAAATGGTGTCCAGGACAAATAACAGGTGAATCTCCCTAGCAATAACGCACGACAATAAAAACCTGACAGGGGTCTAACTCCCATACCACTTTCCAAAACTAAATTTTAATA